CTTCGTTACTTCTTCAAAAGACTCAATTAAGTTCGTACAACATGATTTCCCAAGCACAAAGCCACATTGACTATCCCTAATCAGTCCTTGCCTTTCCAAATACATGTAAATCCTGTCCCTTAAGATCCCCTCCAACAACTTGCCCACCACTAATGTCAGGCTCACTGGTCAATAGTTCCCAGGCTTTTTTTTTCACCACTTTTCTTAAATGGTGGCACCACGTAATCCAAACTCCAGTCTTCTGGCACCTCACCTGTGGCTATCGATGATGCAAGTATCTCAGCAAGGGGTCCAACAATCACTTCCCTAGCTTCACACAAACTTCTCGGGTACGTGTGATCAGGTCCCGTTCTGGAGTATTGTGTGCAGTTCTGGTCGTCCTGTTATAGGAAGGATATTATTGAACTGGAAAGGGTGCAGAAAAGATTTGCAAGTGTGTTATGGGGAATGGAGGGTTTGAGTTATAAAGAGAGCATGTGCAACTGTTTGCATTAGAGCGCAGAAGATTGAGGAGTGACCTTATAGAGGTTTATAAAATTATGAAGTGTATAGATAAGTCATCTTTTACTCAGGGTGGGGGACCTTCAGACTGGGGGGCGTATTTTTAAGGTGAGAAGAGAAAGATATTAAAAAAGACATGAGGGCAACATTTTTTACAGAGTTATTCAAGTATGATTTGAACTTCCAGAGGAAGTGATGGATGCGGTTACAGTTACAAGTTTAAAGAGCATTTGGATAAGTTGATGAATAAGAAATGTTTGGAGGGATATGAGCGAAGTTGTTTCAGCGGCGGGAGTCCGGGAGGAAGCGCGAGGGCATCCTGGGAAGGTAAGCTTTTCGTCTATAAAAGTCTTACCTCGCGTGACTCCATTTTTGGAGTAAGTGAGGTCATATATTTGGGCAGTTGCTTTCCCCAAAACCCTACCTAGGTACTGTCTCCCACCCATCTTCCTCCTCTAACCAAAAAAAGAAGGTTCTGAGCGCTGATTTGGTAAGGCTACTCTTTTTTTTTTAATAGTCTGGGAATTCAGAACAGTGGGAATGGGTGTTAGGGCAGTTGTATGCTCCTCCTGTAGAATGTGGGAGGTAAGGATCACCACTCGCGTCCCCACTGACTTCACCTGCGGGAAGTGCACCCAACTCCAGCTACTTGGAAACCGCGTTAGGGAACTGGAGCTGGAGCTGGATGAAATTCGGATCATTCGGGAGGCTGAGGGGGTAATTGAGAGGAGTTACAGGGAGATAGTCACACCTCAGGTCCAGGAAAAAAATGTAGATGGATTACAGTCAGGGGACAGAAAGGGAACAGGCAGACAGTTCAGGGATCCCCTGTGGCCGTTCCCCTCAAAAGCAAGTATACCGTTTTGGATACTGTTGGGGGGGGGGACTTACCAGGGGTAAGCCATGGGGTACAGGTCTCTGGCACAGAGTCTGTCCCTGTTGCTCAGAAGGGAAGGGGGGAAGAGGAGGAGAGCATCAGTCATTGGGGACTCCATAGTTAGGGGGACAGCTAGGAGATTCTGTGGGAATGAGAGAGACTCGCGGTTGGTGTGTTGCCTCCCAGGTGTCGGGGTCCGTGATTTCTTGGATCGTGCTTTTGGGATCCTTAAGCGGGAGGAGGAGCAGCCCCAAGTCGTGGTCCACATAGGCACCAATGACATAGGTGGGAAAAGGGATGGGGATGCAAGGCAGAAATTCAAGTAGCTAGGGTGGAAGCTTAGAGCTAGAACAAACCGAGTTGTTATCTCTGGTTTGTTACCCGTGCCACGTGGTAGCGAGGCGAGGAATAGGGAGAGAGAGCAGTTGAACACGTGGCTACAGGGATGATGCAGGAGGGAGGGATTCAGATACCTGGATAATTGGGGCTCATTCTGGGGTAGGTGGGACCTCTACAAACGGGATGGTCTGCACCTGAACCAGAGGGGTACCAATATCCTGGGGGGGAAATTTGCGAATGCTCTTCAGGTGGGTTTAAACTAATTCAGCAGGGGGATGGGAACCTGAATTGTAGCTCCAGTGTACAGGAGGTTGAGAGTAGTGAGGTCATAAATAAGGTTTCAAGGTCGCAGGAGTGTACCGGCAGGCAGGAAGGTGGTTTGAACTGTGTCGACTTCAATGCCAGGAGAATCCGGAATAAGGTGGGTGAACTTGCAGCATGGGTTGGTTCCTGGGACTTTGATGTTGTGGCCATTTCGGAGACATGGATAGAGCAGGGACAGGAATGGTTGTTGCAGGTTCTGGGGTTTAGATGTTTCAGTAAGATCAGGGAAGGTGGTAAAAGAGGGGGAGGTGTGGCATTGTTAGTCAAGGACAGTATTACGGTGGCAGAAAGGACGTTTGATGAGGACTCGTCTACAGAGGTAGTATGGGCTGAGGTTAGAACCAGGAAAGGAGAGGTCACCCTGTTGGGAGTTTTCTATAGGCCTCCGAAAAGTTCCAGAGATGTAGAGGAAAAGATTGCAAAGATGATTCTGGATAGGAGCAAAAGTAACAGGGTAGTTGTTATGGGGGACTTTAACTTTCCAAATATTGACTGGAAACGCTATAGTTCGAGTACTTTAGATGGGTCAGTTTTTGTCCAATGTGTGCAGGAGGGTTTCCTGACACAGTATGTAGATAGGCCAACAAGAGGCGAGGCCACATTGGATTTGGTACTGGGTAATGAACCAGGCCAGGTGTTAGATTTGGAGGTAGGTCAGCACTTTGGTGATAGTGACCACAATTCGGTTACATTTACTTTAGTGATGGAAAGAGATAGGTATATACAACAGGGCAAGAGTTATAGCTGGGGGAAAGGCAATTATGAGGTGATGAGGCAAGATTTCGGATGCATTGGATGGAGAAGGAAACTGCAGGGGCTGGGCACAATTGAAATGTGGAGCTTGTTCAAGGAACAGCTACTGCGTGTCCTTGAGAAGTATGTACCTGTCAGGCAGGGAGGAAGTTGTCGAGCGAGGGAACCGTGGTTTACAAAAGAAGTTGAAGTATTGTCAAGAGGAAGAAGGAGGCTTATGTCGAGAAGAGGCGTGAAGGCTCAGTGAGGGCGCTTGAGAGTTACAAGTTAGCCAGGAAGGACCTAAAGAGAGAGCTAAGAAGAGCCAGGAGGGGACATGAGAAGTCTTTAGCAGGTAGGCTCAAGGAAAACCCTAAAGCTTTCTATAGGTATGTCAAGAATAAAAGAATGACTAAAGTAAGATTAGGGCCAATCAAGGACAGTAGTGGGAAGTTGTGCATGGAGTCCAAAGAGATAGGAGAGGCGCTAAATTAATATTTTTCGTCAGTATTCACACAGGAAAAAGATAATGTTGACGAGGAGAATACTGAGATACACGCTATTAGACTAGATGGGATTGAGGTTCATAAGGAGGAGGTGTTAGCAATTCTGGAAGGTGTGAAAATAGATAAGTCCCCGGGGCTGGATGGGATTTATCCTAGGATTCTCTGGGAAGCTAGAGAGGAGATTGCAGAGCCTTTGGCTTTGATCTTTATGTCGTCATTGTCTTCAGGAATAGTGCCAGAAGACTGGAGACTAGCAAATGTTGTCCCCTTGTTCAAGAAGGGGAGTAGAGACAACCCAGGTAATTATAGACCAGTGAGCCTTACTTCGGTTGTGGGTAAAGTGTTGGAAAGGATTATAAGAGATAGGATTTATAATCATCGAGAAAGGAATAATTTGATTAGGGATAGTCAACACGGTTTTGTGAATGGTAGGTCGTGCCTCACAAACCTTATTGAGTTCTTTGAGAAGATGACCAAACAGGTGGATGAGGGTAAAACGGTTGATGTGGTGTATATGGATTTCAGTAAAGCGTTTGATAAGTTTCCCCATGGTAGGCTACTGTAGAAAATACGGAGGCATGGGATTGAGGGTGATTTAACAGTTTGGATCAGAAATTGGCTAGCTGGAAGAAGACAGAGGGAGGTGGTTGATGGGAAATGTTCATTCTGGGGTTCAGTTACCAGTGGTGTACCTCAAGGATCTGTTTTGGGGCCACTGCTGTTTGTAATTTTTATAAATGATCTGGATGAGGGTACAGAAGGATGGGTTAGTAAATTTGCAGATGACACCAAAGTCGGTGAAGTTGTGGATAGTGCAGAAGGATGTTGCAGGTTACAGAGGGACATAGATAAGCTGCAGAGCTGGGCTGAGAGGCGGCAAATGGAGTTTAATGCAGAAAAGTGTTAGGTGATTCACTTTGGAAGGAGTAACAGGAATACGGAGTACTGGGCTAATGGTAAGATTCTTGGTAGTGTGGATGAGCAGAGAGATCTCGGTGTCCATGTGCATAGATCACTGAAAGTTGCCACCCAGGTTGATTACATTGTTAAGAAGGCGTACGGTATGTTAGGTTTTATTGGTAGAGGGATTGAGTTTCGGAGCCATGAAGTCATGTTGCAGCTGTACAAAACTCTGGTGCGGCCGCACTTAGAGTATTGTGTACAGTTCTGGTCACCGCATTATAGGAAGAATGTGGAAGCATTGGAAAGGGTGCAGAGGAGATTTACCGGGATGTTGCCTGGTATGGAGGGAAAGTCTTATGAGGAAAGGCTGAGGTACTTAAGGCTGTTTTCATTCGAGAGAAGAAGGTTAAGAGGTGACTTAATAGAGACATACAAGATGATCAGAGGATTAGATAGGGTGGACAGTGGGAGACTTTTTCCTCGGATGGTGATGGCTAGAACGAGGGGACATAGCTTTAAATTGAGGGGTGATAGATGTAGGACAGATGTCAGAGGGAGGTTCTTTACTCAGAGAGTAGTAAGGGCATGGAATGCCCTGCCTGCAACAGTAGTAGACTCGCCAACTTTAAGGGCATTTAAATGGTCATTGGATAAACATATGGATGATAATGGAATAGTTTAGGTTAGATGGGCTTCAGATTGGTTTCACAGGTTGGCGCAACATCGAGGGCCGAAGGGCCTGTCCTGCGCTGTAATGTTCTCTGTTCTAATCACAGGCAGGTGGGGTGAGTTCAGTTTGGGAAGTTTGGTCGGCATGGACAAGTTGGATCGAAGGGTCAGTTTCTGTGCTGCATGCCTCTATATGAGCCAGCAGTCCATTGTTACGTGGGTCCCAAACATGAGGATTTAGAATTGGGTGAAGATGTTAAACCATAGCTTTGGACAGAAGACATCCAGTTCATCTACAGCTGCTAAGGGTTAGGGATATGTGCACAGCATTTGGGGAACTAATTGCGTTCTAGAATGAGAGAAAAACCAGATACCATTTCTCTGATGTGATGTTCCCATGTTGATTTGGTCCATTCTTCAGTTGAAGATGACAAATGAACAGAGCCCTGCCCGCCACCAGAAGGAACTTCTCTTCTTCATCAGCAGGGGCAGCAGATCTCTGTCCCTACCTCCTCTGAAAGTTCTGGAAGATGGACAAGCCATTTTCTCCCTTCCCTCTGGCACTCGCCTCTCGGTCCCTTGTTACTTCAAGGTGCATTAATGATGCGAAAGTCACATGACTGTCACACTCCTGCTGCAAGGGAATAGATATTGTCTTGATCCAAGGTTTATTGCACTTGCTGACCATTTTTCTAATTTCCCTTGAACAAAGGGGCTGAAGGACAGAGCATGTAGGAGCAGGAGGGCATTCACCCCTTCCAGCCTGCTCTGTCCATTCAATGGGATTGTCCAATTCAGTCCCCTTTTCTCCACTTTCTTCCTTAGGCCCCGAAGAACTCTATTCAACTCCTCCTTAACAATATTCAGGGTTCAGGCCATGACCGCTTCTGTGGTAGAGAAATCCCCAGTCTCCCCACTCTCTGGGTGAAGACGTTTCTCCCCACCTCAGCCCTACCCATCTCCTTTAGACCGTGACCCCTTGGTTCAGGACACCTCCACCTCCACCCCCACCCCCATCCCCGCTCCGTCATTGGGAACATCCTCCTGGCTTTTCTGTCTTAGAATTGTACAGGTTTCTATGAGATCCCTCCACCCGACTCTTCTGAACTCCAGTGAATATAATTCTAATGGATTTAGTCTCTCCTCATTCATCAGTCTTGTTATTTCAGGAATCAGTCTTGGAAAGTGAAGAAGGAGGTCATTAAGTTTAAAAAAAAAAGATGAGCAAGAATGAACCATTCAGCCCAAAGATTACATTCTCATTTTGAGAGCGAACTACTCCATTATGAGCCTGGAATCCAATGGAAAACCAGATTGGGTACAGATTGCCTTCCGTCAAGGACATTAAATTTTTAAAAATATCTATTCATCGGATGTGGGTGCCACTCGCTAGGACAATTTTTGCCAATTCCTAATTGCCCAGAGGGCAGTTAAGAGTCAAACATATTGCTGTGGGGTATAGAGTCACATGTAGGCAAGACCAGGTAAAAATGACAGATTTCCTTCCCAAAAGGACATTGCTGACCCAGATGTGGTTCTCCTCTGGTGATGGTCATCATTCGACTCGAAATTCATGACTTTGATTATTTCAAATTCCACCCTTTGCCATGGCAGGATTTGAACCTGGGTCTCCAGATTAATAGTGATAATAACATTCAGCAATGACCACCATCCCAAGATGAGAGAGCTCGTTGGGTGTTTACGACATGGTTCATTTGATCAGACACGCTTATAATGATTAACCAATACATGACACAGTACCACATTGGTTAAATTGATATAATTACTTGTTATTTAAACAGAGAAAGACTATGGAAAGCTACGGGCCTGAGGGATTGGGATTCCTTGTCCATGAATCACAAAAATGCTAGCGTCCAAGTTCAGCGGGTATTTTGAAGGGAATGGAATATAAAAGATGGAAGGCTTTGTTAAAACTACACAAAGCACTAGTCAGACCCCAGCTGGAACACAGTTTTGGGGCCCCGTATCTGAGGAAAGATAGACTGGGCAGGGGGGCAGTTCAGAGAAGGTTCACTCCGCTGATCCTAGGTATGGAGGGACTGTCTGATGAGGGAGAGGTTGAGTAGTTCGAGCCTGTCTTCATTGGAGTTTAGAAGAACCAGAGGCAACCAATGAAGATTTCTGGATGATATGGGGAGTTGCAGAGAAAGGTTGTTTCCCCTTCTGTGGAAGATTCTGGGACCAGAGGGGCATCATCTCAGAATAAGGGAGGGGGGTGGAGTTGCTCATTGAAGATGGAGATGAGGAGGAATTTCTTCTTTTCCGAGAGGAGTGAATCTGTAGAATTCTTTACTGCAGGCGGTTGTCAATGCTGGGTTGTGAAGTATATTCAAGGCTGAGATTTTTAATTAGAAAGGGGAATTGAGGGTTATGGGGGAGAACGTGAAGTTGAGGATTATAAGATCAGCTGCGATCTCATTGAACAGACATTAAGTGCTAAATAACCTACGTCTGATAGTTTTAATGCACTTGGGGAGGGATAACAAGTCAAAGATGTAGACAAAAAGTCAGAGATCATAGAACATTACAGCGCAGGACAGGCCTTTCGGCCCTCGATGTTGCACCGACCTGTGAAACCAATCTGAAGCCCATCTAACCTACACTATTCCATTATCATCCTATAGTCGTGAAATTCTTGGGGTGTTATTCCAGATATCCAAGAAGATAGCAGGACAGGTTAGTAGTTAAGAAGGCATTCAGGATATTTGCCTTTATCAGTTTAGGCATAGATTATAACAGTGGGTAGGTGATGTTGGAGCTGGGCAGGACTTTGGTGAGGCCACAGCTGGAGCACCATTGGAAGGATGTGTTTGCATTGGTCAGGGTGCAGAGGAGACTAATCAGGATGTTGCCTGGGATGGAGCGTTTCAGCGATGACAAAAGGCTGGATAAACTCAGGTTTGAGCAGAGAAGGTTGAGGGGTGACCCAGTAGAGCTATATTAGACTGTGAGAGACATAGTTGCAAGGCATATTTCCAACAAACAGAGAGATCAGTAAGCAGGCATCATGGATTTAAAGCTAAAAATAAATTTGAGGAGAATATTGTTGGTCCAGAGGATGGTGGGAAATCTGGAACTCGCTTCTTGTAAAAGTGGGAGAGGCAGAAACCCTCATCACATCGAAGAAGTATTTAGATGTACAACTGCATTGCCGTAGCCTCCGGGGATAAGGTCAAAGCTAAGGGCAGTGTTCCTTTCAGATCTTTGCTGACTGGCACCCCTCCTTGTCCTGTAAAGGTCTCTGAAACAATGAAAACTTACTGGCTCTCTTCTTGTCCTGACGTAGCCTGGAAGGAATAACCAAAAAAATGTTTAAGTGCACAATATGGCTAGACGTTTCATTTACCATCTCTCTCAGCATTAACTGTGGTGTGTGTCGCTTAAGAAAAGGAGGTGCAGGAGCAGACGAGGCTGGGGGTGACAGGACAAGGGGACAGCGCAGTTACGAAAGCACACAGTGCCTTTGGCTTTATTAATAGAGGCGCAGAGTCCAGCAGCAGGGAGGGGAGGCTGAAGATTTACAAAACACTTAATAGGCATCAGCTGGAGCATTGCCTGCAGTCTGGGTGCCACATTACAGGAAAGATATGAATGCATCCGAGAGAGAGAGATAATGCGCACCAAAGAACTTTTTGATTTGATTTACTGTTGCCACATGTACTGAGGTGCAGTGAAAAGTGTCGTTTTATGTGCTCTTTAGGCAGATGGTACAGTACAAAGTGCTTCAGGGGCAGCAGAACAAAGTGCAGAATCTCGTGTAGAGATAACAAGGTGCAGAGCTCGATGAACACAGCAGGACAAGCAGCATCAGAGGAGCAGAAAGGCTGACGTTTCGGGCCTCGACCCCAAAACGTCAGCCTTCCTGCTCCTCTGATGCTGCTTGGCCTGCTGTGTTCATCCAGCTCTACACCTTGTTATCTGAGATTCTCCAGCATTTACAGTTACTACTATCGCAGAATCCAGTGTCAAAGCCACCGAACAGAAGCAGAGAAAGAGACAGACAACTTTAACATTTGAGAGGTCAGTTCAAAAGTCTGATAACAATGGGGAAGAAGCTGTTCTGGAATCTGGTACGTATTTTCAAACTTCTGTATCTTCTGCCCAACGGAAGAGGGTGAAAGTGAATATAACTGGTACAGGAGGGGTCTTTGATTATGTTGGCTGCTTTCCTGAGGCAGTGGGAAGTATAGATGGAGTCAGTGAATAAAAGGCTAGCTCGCGTGATTGATTCAGAAGAACCAGGTTCCAGGGATAAGAAACGCCAGCAATCGGGGACTGTTCTGCCTGGGAGAAGAGAAGGCAGAGAGAGAGGGAGGTTTTCAAAATCGTTAGCAGGGGCTGGACAGAGTTGAGAGGGAAAAGCTGTTCCCACGTGTAAAAGGAACAAAAACCGGGGGGAGAGGGGGAGGGTGCATAGATTTACAATGATGTGGAAACAGAGTGCAGAGGGGGACAAATGTGATGAATAAAGCTTTTGACACAGCTAGTAGTTAGGGTGTAGGGTGTACTGCCTGGGAATGTTGTGGAGGCAGGTTCAATGGAGAAGGAATAGTGGATGTGGAGTTGGATAGAAATGGGTGCACATGGATACAGGAGGAAAGGCACGAGGGGGATACATTTCCATGAAGCAGTGCAGATAGAAGTTGGTTTCAGTCAGTCCTGACATACCCACACCATCTGAAGACTGAGACATTCGATTCAATATATCCCTGTGGGAGTAGGGGGTAGTGGTTGAGAAAGCCCCTGTGCGAGGTGGAGAAGTGTCAGACTACGTTATCACACTGAAAGAATAGAGCACAGATTAAGGGAATGTTGAAGTTCAAGCTCGTTGGATGAGTGAGAGCGAGATGAAGGAAAACAAGACTAATTTGATCAAGGTTGGCTAAGGAATCCCATATCACATTGAATGGCAGAGCAGAATCAATGGGCTCAATGACCTGATTCTGCTTGGATGTGCACTAAGCCAATACTATTTTCCTTTCGTGGGACGTGGGCATCATGGACTGGACCCAACATTTATTACCTTCATCCCTAATTGTCCCAGAGGGCAGTCAGATGTCAACCACATCTTTGTGGGTCTGGAGTCATGTGTAGGGCCAGATTAGGTAAGAACAGCAGATTTCCCTCCCTGAAGGATGCTAGTGAACCCAAATGGGTTTTTGTTCTGAGGCACATTATCGTGGATTCACACTCATTGTTAGTAAGGCGATGCCAAGTTTGCAGGTGATGCAAAAACAGATGCGAAGCAAGTGGTGAGTGTGCCAAGAGGAGGGACATAGATGGGGTTCAGTGAATGTGCAAAAACTTAGCTGATGAATATAACTTGGGGAAATATGATGTGATACAAGAAAAACAGAGGAGTTAAAGATTATTTAAATCGAGAAAGACTGCAAAAGCTTTGGAACTGAAGGATTTGACAGTCCTCATGTGTAAATCACCAAAAGCTAGCATTTAAATTCAGCTGGTGAGACCAGAGACCATAAGATACAGGAGTAAAATTTGGCCCATAGGAGTCTGCTCTGTCATTCAATCATGGCTGATATCTTTCTCAACCACGTTCTGCTGCCATCTCCCCATAACCCTTGATCCCCTTATTAATCAGAACATATCGATCTCTGTATTAAAGACACTTAATGATTTGGCCTCCACGGCCCTCTGTGGCAGTGAGTTTCACAGATTCAATACCCTCTGGCTGAAGAAATTCTTCCTCATCTCAGTTCTAAAGGGTCGTCTCTTCACTCCAAGGCTGTGCCCATGGGTCCTACTCTCCTACTCGGGGAAACATCTTCTCCATGTCCACTCTATTCAGGCATCTCAGTATTCTTTAAGTTTTAAACAGATCATGCCTCATCCTTCTAAACTTCATCAAATACAGACCCAGAGTCCTCAACCGCTTCTCATATGACATGCCCTTTATCCCTGGGATCATTCTTGTAAACCTGCTCTGGACACCCTCTGAGGCCAGCACATTCTTCCTTGGATACAGAGCCCAAAACTGCTCACAATATTCCAAATGCAGTCTGACCAGTGCCTTATATGATATCAGCAGTGCATCTTTGCTCTTGTATTCTAGCCCTCTTGAAATGAATGCAAACATTGCATTTACCTTCCGAACTGCCAACAGAACCTGCCTGTTAACCTGAAGAGAATCCTGAACTAGAGTTCCCAAATCCCTTTGTGCTTCAGATTTCCACGGCCTTTCTCAGAAAATAGTCAATGCCTCAATTCTTCCCACGGATGTGCATAGGGAAGGCAAATGGAATGTTGGACTTTAATTCAAAGAGAGTGGAGTATAAAAGTGGGGATGTTTCTGCTAAAACTCTACAAGGCACGAGTCAGACAATAGCTGGGATATGGTTTTGGGGCCCCGTATCTGAGGAAAGATAAACTGGGCATCGGAGGCAGTTGAAGAAGATCTGATCTCAGGTATGGAGGGACAGTTTGATGAGGGTGAGGTTGAGTAGGTTGGGTCTGTACTCATTGGAGTTCAGAAGATTGAAGATTCTTGGAGGGACTTGGCAGGAGAAATGCAGAGGGAGGTTGTTTCCCTTTGTGTGGGAGAGTCTGGGACCAGAGGGGCATCGTCTCTGAATAAGGGAGGTCGCTCACTGAAGACAGAGATGAGGAGGAATTTCTTCACTCCAAGGGAAACAAATCTGTGGAATTCTTTACTACACAGGCCTGTCAAGGCTGAGTCATGAAGTATATTCAAGGCTGAGGTTTTTCATCGGAAAGTGGCATCAAGGGATACAGGGCATAAAGTGGAGTTTACGATGATGAGATCAGCTGCAATCTTGTTGACTGGTGCAACAGACGCGATGGGTTGAATGGCCTTGTTCGGCTCCTACAGTCACATGGACCTGTTCCCATAACATGTAATCACAGAGCATTGTTTTTCCTTTCTGACACAGTGATGCAAAGTTATTTAGAAACTTGTTACTTCCTTCTTTCCTCTTTGCTTGAACAACAGAGTACACAATTTCATCACGATTAGGGCTGCTGGTGTCTGAAACAAAGAACACACATTATAAGGCTCCAAAAGAGAGAGAGAGAGAGAGAGAGAGAGAGAGCGTTAACATTACAGGTTATAAACACAAAGTGCTGGAGAAATTCAACAGGTCTGGCAGAATCTGTGGAAACAGAAAGAGAGAGAGAGAAAAAAGAAACTGTTAATGTCACAGCTAATAAAGACAGAAAGTTCTGGAGAAACATAGCAGGTTCGACAGCATCTGTAGGGAGAGAGAGAGAGAGAGAAACAGTTAACATTTCAGATCCAGTGTGAATCGCCATCGGAACGAAGGAGGGAGAGGTGGAAAGGTATCAGAATCAGTTCTCTGAACAATGAAGGCAAGCATGCCAAACACCTCCTTAACCACCCTGTCTACCTGTGATGTAATTTTCACAAAACTATGTAACTGAACCCCTCGGTTCAACAACACTTCCCAGGGCCCAACCATTAAATGTATGAGCCCTGCCCTTGTTTGTTTTACCAGAATGCCATACCTCACATTTATCCAAATTAAACTCCATCTGCCACTCCTCAGTCCATTAACCCAATTGATCATGATCTTCTTATAATCTGAGATAATCTTCTTCACTCTTGACCATACTACCAATTTTGGTGCAAATGTATAAACTGTGCTTCCTAAATTCTCATCCAAATCGTTTATATAAATGCCAAACAGCGGACCAAACACGGATCCCTACTTTTACCAGCACCTGTACAAAGAAACACATCTTTCGTCCCTCACGCACCCAGTCACAAACTGACCTCTCCTGGGTTGGGAACTGGAGGTGTCCTGATGTCTCTCTTTTCGATGGAGTTTGCAGACAGTGAACAGAAGCAGGAAAACAATGAGGAGAATGGCAGCAATAGCAGAACCTCTGACCTGCAGAGCAAATTTCCCAGAGGGATCTGGAACACAGAATTGGGAAAACCAAAGATCACTCTGATTGTTGCAAAGTCACTAAATTTAATTCTTCAGGTGAGAAAGCAGGGAACCGATCCCATTGAATTGGTGGAGGATGCTAAGGCGGCCAGATACGTAAGGGCGAGGAGCAGGAGTAGGACATTCAAACCCTCTCATTCAATACAACTGTGACTGATCTCATCTCTGCTTCAACTCCACTTCGCTGTCCTCACTCCCTTTAACCTGTCACTGATTAAAAATCTGTCTCCACCTTAAATTTATTCAGTGTCCTGGCACCCACCACACACTTTCCGGGGGAGTGAATTCCTCCTCATTTGTTCTAAAACTGCACGGACAAATGTCCTTTGGCTTTCTGTGGTCGAGAATTCCACAGGTTCCCCACTCTCTGGGTGATGACCTTTCTCCTCATCTCAATCCTACCCCATCTCCTTTAGCCTGTGACACCCCTGGTTCTGGACTGTTCCCCCCAGTCATGAGGAACATCCTGCCTGCATTTAGGATACAAGCTTACCCCTGCTAACGGCGGGAATTTCTATTCTAAAGACAGTAAAAATATGGACTCGAAATTGACCAAATGGCAGGAAACCGAGAGTGATAGTCGATGGATATTTTTCGGGATGGAGAAAAGTTTCTCGTGGAACTCCCCAGGCTTTAGAGCTCTGACTTCACTCAATATGCGTTAACGAACTGGATCTTGCTGTCCTGGGGGGCTACTTCCAAGTTTGCAAATGACACAAAACATGGGAGAATTGTAAATGCGAGGCAGACAGTGTGAAACTCCGAAAGGGCATTGACAGGTTGGTGGAGTGGGCAGATTGGTGGCAGGTCCAGTTCCATGCAGTGTGAGGTGATGCACTTTGGTAAGAATGTTGAAAGACAATATAAAATAGCGGAGTACAACTGTAAACGGGGGTGTGGGAGCTGCGGGTATATCTGCACTGATCATTAAAGTGGTAGGACAGAGGGAGAGTGGTTAATAAAGCTCAGTGTCCTTGACTTTATGAAAAAGGGCATAAAATCAGAGAGCAGGGAAATTAAGTTGTACAAGACATTTGTCAGACCTCAGCTTCAGTATTGTGTATAGTTGTGGGCGCCACATTATAGGAAAGATGTGACTGCATTGCAGAGAGACAGTGAGTGCAGGAGCAGTTTACATGAATGGTTCCAGGCCTGAGAAACTTCAGTGACGAGAATTGAGCAAGAAGTTGCGAATTGTTCGAGATTTTCAAAATCATGAGACGGGGGAACTGGACAGAGTCGATAGGGAGAATCTGTTCCCACTCATAAAAGGAACAAGAACGAAACAGGGGGAGTGGGGACAGGGAAAAAGTTTCCTTGTTGATCAAATAAGGCAAGTGTCAGGTAGTCACCAAGATAGACCATAGTACCTTACACAGAACATGGAATATAGCTGTTTAACATTGGGAGTTTAATTTTTAATCATTGCTCAGACCACTGAGTATAGAGTTGAGACGTCATGTTGTGCATGTACAGGACATTGATGAGGCTACTTTTAGATTACTGTATACAATTCTGGCTGCCCTCCTATAGGAAGGATATTATTAAAATGGAAAGGATGCAGAAAAGATTTACATGGACATTACTGAAGCTGAAGGGTTTGAATTACAAGGAGAGGCTGGATAAGCTGGGACTGTTTTCCGTGGAGCATAGGAGGTTGAGGGGTGGCCCAATAAGAGGATTATAGACAGGGTGAAAAAGAAAGATCTTTACCCCAGAGTAACTAAACTACGGGGCACAGGTTTAAGCTGAGAGGGGAAAGATTTAAAAGGGACCTGAGGGACAACTTTTTGACACAAAGGGTGATTCGTGTATAGAATGCACTACCAGAGGAAGTGGTAAGTGCATGTACAGTTACAAGTTTTAAAAAATGTTTCAATAGGTACATGAATAGGACAGGCTTTGAGGGAGAAAGGCCAAATGCAGGCAAACAGGACTAGTTTAGTTTGGGAAACTGGCCAGCATGGACGAGTTGGGCCTCAGGGCCTGATTCCGTGCTCTATGACTCTGTGACTCAGTAAAACATTGATGGCTGGGATGAAGCAATGTGATCAGGGTTTAGTTAATTCATTGGCTGAGAGCCAGATAAGTTTCTGGAAGGAACTTTGAGATAAAGTGAGCAGAAAAAGGATTTTTCAGGGGGAGCTCTGGAGAACAACATTCGCAAAGTATGTGCCCTGAAGTGATCTTCGGAGAGGACAGAGAATCACGAGGCAAGATCTACACGAAGAGCAAATTTGACTACTTCACTTAAACCGAGCTAGTGTTCAATTCAAGTCAAATGAATAGTCAGGGTTAAATGTGAATTAAATCAAACAAAGTGAATCTAAATGAGGTGAGTTAAAGCTGAAGTTAGGTTAGATGAGGTAAGAAGTGAATGCATTCTTTTTATTGAGTGCTGGTATCTGAAGGGTTAAGTAAAAAAAAAAGGGTTTATTTAGGTACTGAGTAAGTTCCCCACCTTTGGTCCACAGGATATCATAGAATCATAGAATTCCTAAAGTGTCGAAGCATCCCACCCAGGCCCATTCCCATCCCCCTACCCTATCCCTACATTTCCTGCATCTAATGCACCTAACCAACATACCCCTGAACTCTATGGGCATTTTATCATGGCCAATCCACTTAACCTGCATATCTTTGGGCTGTGGGAGGAAACCAGAGCACCTGGCAGAAACCCCACAGATACAGGGAGAGCATCAAACTCAACACAGACAGTCGCCCCAGGTTGGATTCAAACCCAGGACTTTGGCACTGTGAGGCAGCAGTGCTAACCACTGAGGCACTGTGCTGCCCCTCGGATATCTGGGTAAAAGTTTTGAGTGTCCCCTCAGATAACATGGTAATCTACAACTGATGACTTCTTCCATTTTGATCCATACCTGACATAGTGAGGGCGAGCGGCTCACTACAGTTGATAACGTGGGCAACGGCATTTGCAGCACACAGGAGTACACAGCGCCCTCCCCCTCAGGTGGCACGGTGACATGGAATGTGGCTGTCCTGGAGTCAATGACTGTCGTGTTCCTCAGGAGGTGGTGGTAGTGACGATATAGCATGAGGTTTATAGGCAGTGTCCCACTTTCGGAGGTACACCAGATGGTAAAGTGGTCACCGATGGACACAGCGGACCCCTTCAGATCTGAGCTGATGGATGGGCAGCTCACGGGGACTGGGGAGGAGAGAGAAAATTCAGGCATCAATTAAATCCCAAGCAGCAAAATTAATGACCCCAACACATACTGCACACAGACATGACTTTTCAAGGACAGATCCCCAGTGGTGAAGGTGCAGAATTAGATATAGTTACTGAGTTTTCAGTGCAGAAACAGGCCCGTTGACCCATCATGGCTTACCAGTCAAAAACAAGCACCTTGCTTTTCTAATCCCATTTTCATCAGGGATAGTTCTTAAGGTTAAAGGGATCAAAGGGTATGGGGTGAAAGGGGAACCAGAGTACTGAGATGGATGATCAGCCATGATCGGATTGAATGGTGAAGCAGGCTTCAAAGGGCCGAATGTCCCCGACTCCTGCTCCTATTTTCTGTGATGCTATGATGGAAGGAATCATGTGCTGGTCACCTGTAACATCCATGATTTCCCACATATTAAAACATGCATTCCACATGACTGAGCTGTGTTGTCATACCTTAATTTATTTCATTTAGGTTGATAATATGTGACATTTATTTACTTATAACAATTTTGTTTTCTTTGACCTTACAATAATAAAGATAACAAATGTTGATCAACCTTACTCGGACTGAAAACTCCAACCAACAATTAACATACTTAACTGATTTCAAGTCAACCTCACTTGAACTCTTTGTCTCTTACTGCCTTTACTTTATTTTCTACTTATGGTGACATGGACATGACTGGCTGGGCCCTATATTAACCAACATTGTCCCTTGAGAAAGTAATAGTGAGCTGTCTTCTTGAACCGCTGCAGTCCATGTGCTATAGATTAGGCACAAATGCCATGAGGAAGGGAATTCCAGGATTTTGACACATTGACACTGAAGAAATGGCCGATATATTTCTAAGTCAGGATGGTGAGTGGCTTGGAGGGGAATGTGCAGGGGGTGGTCTTCCCCTATATCTGCCTCCCTTTCCTTCTGGATGGAAGTGATCATGGGTTTGGAAGGTGCTGTCTTAGGATCTTTGGTGAATTTTGCAGTAGTCTCATAGATGGTACACTCTGCTGCTACTGACCATCGATGGTGGAGGGAGTGGATGTGGTGCCAATCAAATGGCAGCTGCTTTGTCCTGGATAGTGTCGAGCCTCTCGAATGTTGTTGGAGTTGCACTCATCCAGGCAAGTGTGGAATATTGCATCACACTCCTGACTTACGCCTTGTCGATGGTGGACAGGCTTTGGCGGGAGTCAGGAGGTGAGTTACTCGCTGCAGTATTCCTAGCCTCTGGTCTGCTCTTGCAGCCACAGTTTTGAAATGATGAATCCAGTTCAGTTTTTGGTCAATGATAATCCCCAGGATGTTGGTAGTGGGGGAATTCAGTGATGTAATACCATTAAGTATTAAGAGGTGATAGGTAGATTCTCTCTCAATAGTAACCCCAGGATGTTGACAGTGGGGGGATTCAGTGATAGTAAGACCATTGAGCATCAAGGGGGCGATGGTTAGATTCTTTCTTATTTGTGTGGTGAAGATTTTACTTGCCACTTGTCAGCATAAGCCTGGATATCATCCAGATCTTCTTACATTTGCACACAGGTTGCTTCAGTATTTGAGGAGTAGCGAATGGAGCTGAAGGGTAGAGTCGTACAGATGTACAGCATGGAAACAGACCCGTCAGTCCAACTCATGCATGTCGACCAGATATTCTAAATTAATCTTGTCCTTTTTGCCAGAGTTTGGAATCATATCCCTCTGAGCCTTTCCTATTCATGTACCCATTCAGATGCCTTTTAAATGTTGTCATTGTACCCATCTCTATGACTTCCTCTGGCAGCTCATTCCATGCATGCACCACTCTCTGTGTGAAAAGTGTTGTCCCTTAGGTGCCCTTTAAACTTGTCCCCTCTCACCTTAAACCAATGCCATCCAGTTACGGACACCCTTATACTGGCGAAGACCTTGGCTATTCACCCGATCCATGCCCCATATGATTTTCTAAACTTCTATATTTTATGAACCTCAGCCTTCGACGCTCCAGGGAACATAGCCCCAGCCTATTCAGCCTCTCCCTCTTCCTCAAACCCTACAACCCCAGCAACATTCTTGTAAATCTTTTCAAAATCCTTTCTAGCTGAAGGACATCGTTCCTAGCAAGGAGTCCAGAATTGAATGCTGTATTCCAAAAATGGCTTTATCAATGTCTTCTACAGCCTCAATATGAAATCCCAACCCTGATACACATTGCACTGACCAATGAAGGCAAGTTTACTGAACACCTTCTTCAAAATCCTGTCTACCTGCGACTCAACTTTCAAGGAACTATGAACCTGCACCCTCTATGTCCCTTTATTCAACAATATGCCCCAAGATGCTAGCATTAAATATATAAGCCCTGCCCTGATTTTGCCTTACCAAAATACAACACTTCACTTTTATCTCGTATTTATCCAATTTGGACTACTGTGAACAGTTCTGGGTTCCCATCTCTGAAGAAAGATAGCCTGGGCAGTGGAGGCAGCCCAGAGAAGGTTCACTCGGCTGATCCCAGATATGGAGAGACTGTCTGATGAGGGAAAGGTTGAATAGGTACGGCCTGTCCAAATTGGTGTTTAGAAGAATTAGAGGTGACCTTATTGAAGATTATTAGAGGAACCTGACAGGGGAGATGCAGAGAGAAGTTGTTTCCCCTTGTGTGGGAGAGTGTACGACTAGAGGGGCATCATCTCAGAATAAGGGAGGCTTCCTATTGAAGTTGGGGATGAGGAAGAATTTATTTTCTCTGAGGGGAGCTAATCTGTGGAATTTTTTTTTACCACAGAGGGCTGTCAAGGCTGGGCCATTCAGTATATTCAAGCCGAGATGGGGATTTTTAATCAGGAAGGGGAATTGAGGGTGATGGGGGAGAGGTGGGGGCAAGGCAGGAAAGTGGAGTTGAGGATGATCAGATCGGACATGCTACTATTGAAGAGTGGAATTGTCTCGATGGGCTGAATGGCCTATTCCCGCTCCTACATTTAATGATCTTCACATTCTGAGGACAATCAGGTTACATGCATCATGCAGATGCAAAACACTTGCACAGAGTCAGGCCAAGTTACACAGTAAGAGGCCACTCACAACCAAATGAGCTCCGGTAAGAATCTGGTCTTGGGATCAGAGCAGAGATGAATGTTGGTGATCTACCAATTACAAAACCCCCCTCATGAAGTTAACCCTCCTCAGTCCCAGCAGCTCAATTTGGACAGAAAAACTGGGGCTATTCCAACAGCAATGCAAGATGACATGTGACATCTGTTAAACTGACAGATGCATTTCTGAGTAATTGTCATTGACTGGTGCATTCTCCATGACGACCAGAGTGCCAATCCATCTCCTCTTTTCCATTGCCAATGTTGATTTGCTCCTCCTTGAGTTGGCACTCTTACAAAATGTCCTGATCAATTTCAAGACGCCAACCGAAAGGCACCATTTTAATTTTTGGCCAGATCAGTGCAAGTGAAACTTCGTTTCCATCCTGCGTCAGCCTCCTCCCACATCCCCAACGCACACCCCACCCCCTCACCACAACCTGGCCCCTTGGTTGACTCACTCTGGACAGTGACTTCCACCCAGAGGGACAGGAACGTCGAAAGGTTCTGGAAAATCGCACAGCGGTACCATCCCGAATCCATTCGGGTTGCTCGGTGGATGAGATAGATGTTGCGAGGCCTGGAATCAGAGTTCAGGAGGGTCTCATTTCTGTAGAAGTAAATTTGTCCTCTCCCACACACATGGTCCTGGGTACACCGACAATTCAGTGTGATGGGATTACCATCTCTCTGCAGTCTGGGATCCACCAGCAATATCACTGGACTTTCTGATATTGACAGAACGGTTAAATTTTTTGTGACAAAAACCATATAATTTTAATTCATCATTTTCAATGTTTGTTGCTTGGGTATCTACTTTGCAGCTGTACTAAGTGTAACAAGGTCAGCCAGGTGGACCTCATAGGGGCTGTTTACCTTGTCTGAACAGAGTCCTGGCTGAAAGGCATAAAGGATTGTGTCAGAGTTTCTGCTCACTCTCGAAGCCAGCTCTGAGTTGCCTGGGTCAGTGTCATGTACTATACAAGTGTAATTAAAGGGTGACTTGGTGACTGGGTACTGGCCTCTGTGGAGTTATTTCAGGAGCAATTAACTAGTGCATTTTCATCTCTTCATGTGATGTTAATCATTAACTCGCAAGTATTTCTGACACCATTCCTTCTAAAAACAGTTTGGAAGCCTGGATGGAGACTGAATGGCTTTATGCATCAGCGAATGTTTGCTGCATTTAGATTTTTGTTGGAATGATTGCAAGTGCAGTTCTAAGAGACCCCTTGGGATGAGCAATCATAACATGAGTGAGTTTCTGGGACGAGATTCCTGAATCTTAATAAGGAAAACTGCAATGTTTGAAGCATGAGTTGACTATGATGGATTGGGAAATGCTACTGAAAGGAATGAGAGTGGGTAGGCAGTGCCAAACATTCGATGACAAATAGGTGAACTACAGAAATTATTTATTACAACCTGACTCAAGAGTGCAAAGAGAACACTGACCAAACCAGGCTTCCAAAGGAAGTTGAAGATAGTACTAACTGCAAAAAAAGGCATAAAAATTGGCAAGAAAAATAAATAATAGCCCTGAGAATTGGGAACAGTTTAGATGTCAGCAAGAGAGATCTAAAAGATGCATTGAGAAAGATAAACTAGAGTATGAGTGTAAGCTTGCAGGGAACAGAAGAACTGACTGTGAAAGCTTCTGCAGGTATGTCAAGATAAGAAGTTTGGTGAAAACTAATGTAAGCCTCTTGCAGTCAGAAACAGGGGACTTTATAATGGCGGATAAACAAAATTTATACTTCAATTATGTCTACACACAGGAGAGTATGAAAAATTTACTGGAAATGATGGCGAAAAAAGAGATCAGTGGATGGAAGAAGTAAAGAAATATTGCTGGGCAAATTGATGTGATTGAAGGTTGATAAATCCCCAGGAACTGACAACCTACATCCAAGAGTGTTTAAGTAACTGGCCTTAGAATTAATGGATGCATTGATGATCATGTTCCAGGATCCTACTGACTCTGAAACAGTTCCTACACATTACAGGGTAGCTGATGTAACCTTACTCTTTAAAAATGGTGGTGGAAACAAAACTGGGAATTATAGACCAGTCAGCCTGACATCAGTATTGGGAGTATCAGGGACTGGGAGATGTTGAGGGTTCAATATTAGCCATCGTTTCAAGTCAACATAGGGGCAGTTTAACCTGGGTGGTAGGGTAAAACCGGAAGCATTACAGCCAGCAACTGATATCAGATCCAGCACCATGCTGTTATCAGTTCTAATTAACTGCTCAATTACTGCCTTATTAATGCCAATCAATCAGTGTTATCCTTTTGGCTTCTGAAATTCATTTCCCTCTAGATTTCTTGAGAATTAAATCAATCAAATTCTAACTTCTAAAATCCCATCCACATCAAATTTAGGGTGCTACATTAGTTTGGATCGATGATTGACGAGCCAATAGACAACAGAGAATCAGGATAAATGGATCTGTTTTTTTGTTTGGCAAGCTATAATGAGTGGGACCCCACAGGTTTAAGTCCTTGTCCCTAGCTATTTGCAATGTATATTTATGACTTGTATGAAGGGACAGAAGATGACACTAAAATAGTTGGGAAACTAAACTACAATGAGTTAAGTGGCACAGTGGCTCAATGGTTAGCACTGCTACCTCACAGTGCCAGCGACCCAGGTTTGATTCCAGCCGTAGGTGACTGTCTGTGTGGAGTTTGCACAATCTCCCTGTGCCTGCGTGGGTTTCCTCCGGCTGCTCTGGTTTTCTCCCACAGTCCAAAGATGTGCAGGTTAGATGAATTGGCCATGCTAAATTGCCTGTAGTGTTCAGGGATGTGTAGATTCAGTGGGTTACAGGGGGACAGGTCTGGGTGGGATGCTCTGAGGTTCGGTGTGGACTTGTTGGGCTGAAAGGCCTGCTTCCACACTGTAGGGTTTCTGTAACTTCTATGAAGAAATAATAAATAGAAATGCATAGGTTCGGTGAAGGTGCCAACATTTGACATCAAAAAGTGTGAGGTTGCCCATTGTAGTCAAAGGAATAGAAAGGCACTTTATTATTCAAGTGGGAGAGAAGCTTCAGAGTGATCTGGTACAGAGGGGTCTGGATGTCCTTGTGCATGAATCTCAGAAAGCTGGCACACAGAGACAGCAGGCAATATGGAAGGGAACAGGCAATTGCTAAAGGAATGGCACATATAAGAATGTAAGTGTTGCTGCAACTGTGCAAGGCATTAGTGTTTCGGCATCCAGAGTACTGCGTAGAGTTTTGGTCCTCTTACTTGAGAAGGGGTGTAGTAGCATTGGAGGCAGTTCAGAGGAGAATCACGAAATTGATTCCAGAGTTGAGGAGTTTGTCTTATGAAGAGAGATTGAGCAGTTTTGCCCTGTATTGTCTGCTGTTTAAAAGAATGTGAGTAGACATAATTGAGGGATATAAGATAGTAAAGGTGGGATTGACAAAGGAAACGGAGAGGATATTTCCTCATGTGGGGCAATCTAGAACAAGATGTCAAGGTGGCTCAGTGGTTAGCACTGCTGCCTCACAGTGCCAGCGACTTGAGTTCAACTCCACCCTCAGGCAGCTGTCTGTGTAGATTTGCTCCAGGTGCTCTGGTTTCCTCCCATATCCAAAAACCTGCAAGTTAGGTGGATTGGCTATGTTAAATTACCTGTAGTGTTCAGGGAGGTATATGTAAGGTCAATTAGCCATAGAAAATGAAGGGTTATGGGGATGAGTCTGGGTGGGATGCGCTTTGAAGGGTCAGTGTAGACTCAATGGGCTGAATGGCCTGTTCCCACACTTTTTGAGGTTCTATGGATTTCAGGAGAATGGGAATGGGGCAGATTGAAAACAGAGATGAGGAGGAATGGCTTCTCTCAAAGTGGGGGAAGGGACGGTGCGTGAATCTGTAGGAATTCACCCACCCCGCAGAGCGAATGGGAGATGCTGGGATGCTGAATAAATCAGTGATGGGTTAAAGGGAATAGGGGCTGGAAAGTGGAGTTGAGGCCGAGATGTGATCAGCCACAATCGTATGGAATGGGGGAGCAGACTTTCAAGGGACTGAATGGATTCCTCCTGCTCCTAGCCCCTATGTTCTAAAGTGACACGTACCTCGCACATCCACACGTCTGTAAGCTGATGTGTACATGGGACCATCAGGATAATTAACAATCTGCACTTGGCATCGATACCATCCTGTATCCTCAAATGTAACCCGCTCCTTTTGAAAAGAAACACTTTTATTTCTTGTCCGGATCTCAGCAATAACAGAACCTTCCTGATAAAATGTGTAAATGAATTCATTGTGCATGGGGTATGTGCAGTGACAAATCAATCTCAATGTCTGTTCATACCACAGAGGTTCTGGCTCAGTCTCAATCCTCATAATCAATTCAGGACCTGTCAAAAAAGAAATGACTTGAATTAATAACTGGATGTAAGCACCAACCAGACCAATCAGCTACTTGCTGCTGGCCAAATCTCCACTCGTACACATCCCCTTCACTCCACCTCATCATCCAACGCGACTTTCTCGTCTGCTTCAGCAAGCAGCTGTGTAACCAATGCTTCCAATGAGGGTAAGAAAACTACTTTTCAAAACGGGCAGTGAGTTTTGCTTTCTCAGAGTCCTTTCCCCACTGCAGTCCACTGTCCAAACTACAGAAAAAAAATTGTGTAATTCCCAGGAGCAGTGTATCCCGTTGACAGAAAGAGTACAGGAACTGGATATTGTTTAAATGGAAAAAGACTGCATAAAGCTATGGGATGGAGGGATGTGGGGAGTCTTCGTCCATGAATCACAAAAAATTAGCAAGGATCCAAGTTCAGTCCGTCATAGGGAACATGACTTGTCATATTTTCAAAGGGAATGGAGTATAAAAGTTGGGAGGTTTTGCTAAAACTATACAAGGCATTAGTCAGACCACAGCTGGGATACAGTGTACAGTTTGGGCCTCATATCTAAAGGAGGTTCGACTGGCATTGGAGGCAGTCTAGAGAAGGTTCTCTCGGTTGATCTTGGGTATGGAGGGACCATCTGGTGAGGAGGAGGTTAAGTAGGTTGGGCCTGTCTTCATTGAAGTTTAGAAGGAGGAGAGGCAACCTTATTGAAAATCCTTAGAAGGACATGACAGGGTAGATGTGGACATAGGTTCTTTCTCCTTGTGTAGGAGAGTCTGGGACCAAAGGGGCATCAACTTAGAATACAGGGTGGAGGGTGGGGTGCCCACTGAAGATGAAGATGAGGAGGAATTTCTTCTCTCCAAGGGGAGCAAATCTGTGGAATTCTTCACTGCAGACGACTGTCGAGGCTGGGTCATTGAGTATATTCAAGGCTGAGATTTTTAATCTGAAAGGGGAATCGAGGGTTATATGGGGAAAGTAAATTATCAGATCAGCTGTGATCTCATTGTATGGTGGAGCAGACACAATGAGCTGAATGACCTCATTCTGATCCCATGTCTCCAGAATTTGAGAACATCAGTGTCACAAGTCACTGCTCTGCCGAGATACCAGTTAGCACTGGCTACATGCAGAATAAGATACTGCTGAGGTCTACAATTCTGTCTTTGATGCACCAAGTTAATGTTTGAAAAGGAGAACCAACCATTTTGTGATGTCCTGCATTCACTGTGGAAGAGAAACTGCGCAGTGGGAGGTGTTTAACAAAGGATGACAAGAAAGAATTAGACTTATGGTCACGGAGTCATACAGCGCGGGAACAGATTCTTCAGTCCAACTAATCTATATTGACCATAATCCCAAACTAAAGTAGTCCCACGTGCCTACACTTGGCCCATAGCCCTCCAAATATTTCCTATTTGTGCACTTAATCCAAATGTCTTTTAAATGTTGTATCTGTACCCACATCCACCACTTCCAGTGGAAGTTCATTCCAAACATAAACCACTCTCTACTTAAAAAAAAGAAAATGCCGCTCATTGCCTTTACAAATCACTCTCCTGTCACTTTAAAAATATGCCCCCTAGTCGTGAAATCCCTCACCAAGTTAAAAAAAAGACACTGCCATTCACCTTGTATATACTGCTCATGATATTATAAACCTTTGTAAGGTAACCCCTCAAACTCCTATGCTCCAGCCTATCTAACCTCTCTTCTTAACTCAAAACCTCCATTCCTGGCAACAACCTGATAAATCTTTTCTGAACCTTCTCCAGCTTAATAATATCTTTCCTATAACAGGGCAACCAGAACGGGGTGCAGTACTCCAGAAGAGGCCTCACCAATATCCTGCACAACCTCAACATGACGTCCCAACTCCTATACTCAAAGGTCTGAGCAATGAACGCAAACGTGTGAAATGCCTTCTTAACCATCCTGTCTGCTTCTGATGCAAAATTCAAAGAATTATGTACCTGAACCCCAGATCTCTCTATCAGCTACACTACCAAAGGCCCTTTTAATTGTATAAGCCCTGCCCTTGTTTGTTTACCAAAATGCAACACGTCACATTTACCCAAATTAATCTCCATCTGCCACTCCTCAGCCCACTGATCCAATCAATTTTCAGGGTCAGATGAATATTCGTAGTGGATATATAATTAATGATCTGGATCTTGCCGTGCAGGGGGACCATTTGCAAATTTGTAGATGGCAAGAAACCTGGGAGAATCGTAATCTGCAAAGAGAACAGTGCAGAAATCGGATCGGACATTGACAAGTTGGTGGAGTGGGCAGAGAGGTGGCAGATGCAGTTCAATGCAAAGAGAAGTGTGAGGTAATCCACATTGGTGGGAAGAATATTGAAAGATAATATAAAATAGGGGAGTACAATTCTAAAGGGTGGTATAAGAGCAGAGGAAGTTGGGGGTATATGTGCACAGATCATTGAAGGTGGCAGGACAGGGGGAGTGCACAGTTAATAAAGCTCACAGCGCGTTCAGCTTTATTAATAGAGGCATGGAGTCCGACAGCAGGGACGTCACGTTGAACTTATACAGGACACTTGTTAGACCTCAGCTGGAGTACTGTGTACAGTTGTGGGTGCCACATTACAAGAAAAGTTTGAAATGCATTGGGTGGGGTGGGGTGCGGGGATGGGGAGGGCAGAAGCAGTTTACAGGAAAGATTCCAGGGATGAGACACTTCAGCACTGAGGCTAGAATGGAAAATGATACTTTTCAGTCCATAGCAGGCACTGTGCGGACATTAAGTTTTGACTTAAGTTCAGAAATAACCAGGAGTTTGGTTTAAAAAGGGATCTGTTTTTCTCTTATTAAGAGATTGCTTCAGTTCAGACTTTGTCACTCTGTGAGTGCACCAGCAATGTGTTTTCTTTTTGTTGTTTTGTTTTAAATTTGTGAAGACTCCAAGCCAGGAAACTTTGATATAGCAACTTAAAATTCTCAGAAGTGAAATATTAAAAAAAAAACTCATGCCCTTAAAATCACAAGACAGTCACACATTCAAACACATGAATGAATCGTAACATTGAAAAGACAAAAACGGAAGGAAGGAGCCAGTTAAGTAGAAAGCTGAAGAGTTGGGTGAGGAGGATTAAAACATAGAAAATAGGATCAAGGAGTAGAGCTCTGTCATTCAATGAGATTGTCCAACTCAGTCCACTGTGTGTGAAGAACTATACATGATACAAGGGGTAGTGTTGGTGTACTGGTCCTATCACAAACTAGCAATTGAGCGAACGAGGGTGACAGACCACAAGGGTGGGTTCAAATCTCCTCTTCCCTATGGGAGTTGCTAGGGAACAGTCATCCAGTCTCAGTGAGATCTGGGATAGATGTTAGATCGAGGAGATAGTGTCCATCAAACCCATCAACCCCACCTTCAGAAGAGTCCCGCCTGGAATCTTTGCCGGATCTTTGCCCTTCCGGATCCAATTGCCACCAGTTCTCAAGTGAGCAAGCTGCCCAGTCCATGGGCACATGGCTCAGAACTTGACAGCAATGCTCGAGAAAGGATTGGGGCCGGGGAGGTTGGGGTGTGTGAAAAAAGTGGTGGGATGGACCGACAATCATAACAGTGAATTCCAGTGAAACTTTGCACATCGCAACTACAGTGGTGCTATCCCAAGAGAATCCCAATACCCTTGCTTTTCCCACCCCCGTCCATCCCTGGGAATTACTGTAACTCCCCTCAAATGCCTGAAGGGATGCTAATTGAGACAAAGAGTTTGACTTATCCAAGACCGGCGTGACTCACCGGATACTCTCACGAGAATGCTGTTACTGTAGGCTGTTGTTTGTGTCAAAGTTTGGCATCTGTATTCCCCATTATGCTCTATTCCAGCAGCCTCAATGGCGTAAATCTTCCCGCTGAACTCTTTGATAGTGTTGTTTACGATCCACTTATATCTCACAGAATGAAGCTCTCAACCGGCATCACAGCTAAGAACGATCCGGTCACCCGTTAAGAATCTCTCCCACATTGGCTCTATCATTAGCACAGGTGTTCCAGTCTCTGATGGGGAACCTAATCCACAGAGAAACACATTCACATGGGGAAGAACTGAAACTGTCTTGCTGCAGTCGGATGGTTAGCTTGCTGCTCCGACAACTTAAGCAGTCCAATATCCAGGCATGGGCTGACAAGTGGCAAGTAAAATTTGCACTACACAAATGCCAGGCAATGACCATCTCAAATAATAGAAAATCTAACTATCACCCCTTGACATTGAATGCTATTACCATCACTGAATTCCCCCACTATCAACATTCTGGGCATTACCACTGAGAGATAATCTAACTATCAGCCCCTTAACATTCAATGGTGTTACTAACACTGAATCCCCCACTGTCGACATCCTGGGGATAACTACCATCACTCTCTTAATGTTCACTGAACCACCACTGACCCCCTCCACTATCAACATCCAAGTGGTTACCACTGAGAGAGAATCTATCTACCATTCCTTGACTTTCAATTGTATTATCATCACTGAATCCCCTCACTATCAAAATCCTAGGGATTACCATTGACCAGAAACTGAGCTGGACTCGCCATGTAAGCTACAAGAGCAGGTCAGAGGCTGGGAATCCTGCAGCGAGTAACACACCTCCCGACTGCCCAAAGCCTGTCCACTATCGCCGAGGTACAAGGGATTGTCAACATGGTGTTCTGCATGGAAAACTGTGTCTCACTGACTTGATTGAATATTTTGAAGAAGTGACAAAGAAGATTGATGAAGGCAAAATGGTGGATGTTGTCTAAATGGACTTCAGCAAGGTGCTTGACAAGAATCCACATAGTAGACTGGTTGGCAAGGTTACATCACATGGAATACAGGGAGAGCTAGCCAATTGGATACAAAATTGGCTTATAGATAGGAGACAGAGGATGGTGGTGCAGGGTTGCTTTTCAGTCAGAAGACCTGTGATCAGCAGTGTGCCGCATGGATCGGTGCTGAATCCATTAGTTTTCATCAATTACATTTGGATGTGAATGTAAGAAACATGGTTACTAAGTTTGCAGTCAACACCAAAATTGGTGGTAAAATGTACAGTGAAAAGGTTTATCTCAGAGTACTGTGAGACCATGGATGGGCTGAGGAGTGCAGATGGAGTTTAATTTAAATAAAAGTGAAGTGTTGCATTTTAGTGAGGCAAATTAGGGCAAGACTTATACACTTGATGGTAGGGTCCTGGGAGTGCTGCCAAACAAAGAGACCTTGGGGTGAAGGTTCATAGTTCATTGAAGGTGGTGAAAGAAATGAAGAAGATGTTTGTAATGTTTGCCTTTATTGGTCAGTTCATTGAGTATACGAGTTGGGAGGTCATGCTGTGGCTGTAGAGGAGATTGGTTAGGCCACATTTGGAATACTGCTATGGGAAAGGTGTCGACAAACTTGAAAGGGTTCAGAAAAGATTAACGAGGATGTTGCCAGGGTTGGAGGGTTTGAGCTGTAGGGGCAGGTTGAATAGGCTGGTGTTATTTTACCTGTAGCGTTGGAGGCTGAGGGGTGACCTTTCTGAGGGGCATGAATAGAGTGAATAGCCAAGGTCTTTGCCCCAGGGTAGGGCAGTCCAAAACTAGATGGCATAGGTTTAACGTGAGAGGGGAAAGATTTAAAAGGGACCTAAAAGGCAACTTTTTAATGCAGAGGGTGGTGCATGCTTCGAAGCAGCTGCAAGTGGAGGTATTGGAGGCTGGTATAATTACAACATTTAAAAGGCATTTGGATGAGTACATGAATAGGAAGAGTATAAGCGGGAGATGTGCCAAATGCTGCCAAATAGGACTAGATTAATTTAGGCTATCTGGTTGGCATGGATGAGTTGGTCCAAGGTGTCTGTTTCCATTGTTGTACATCTCAAAGACTCCAAGTCAGGAGTGTGATGGACTCGAAATGTAACTCTGATTTTCTCACTCCCTCTCTCTCCACAGATGCTGCCAGACCTGTTGAGTTTTTCCAGCACTCTCAGTGTTTGTCTCAGATCTCCTGCACCCGCAATACTTTGCTTTCCATTGGCTGGAGTACTGACACTGTGGAGTTCATCAATATGTCATAAAACAAAACTGGAACTCAACTTACCTTCTCGTATTTGTAGAATCATCACTTGCCCTGAAAACACACAATTAGATACAATTGATAAGTTTTGTGGCCTTTATGTCGACATAGAGAAAACTATTCAGTGGTTACAGCTTTGAAAATTGCTCTACGTAAGTCATGCTTTAAAATACATCTATGTGATGCGTCCTATGTCCTGAAATGTTTATTAACAAAGTCCGGAGATGACTTTCCCATCGTCCAAAAGAAATGGGTTTAGAAAGTAGATTCAGGACTGAGCTGGAGAGACTTTTTTATTAGGAAGAGGAATCGAGGGTAAGAGGGACAAGTGGAGTTGGGGATAATCGGATCAGCCATGATCTCCTGGAATGGTGGAGCAGACTCAATGGAGTGAATGGCCTACTGCTGATCAAATGCCTTAACTTAATTTGTTCAGCGGTGATGCATTATGAGGCTCACTTGTTGAGGTCATGTGCATGTGACGGTGTGTGAGCAAACGTACACGTGCATGTGCATGTGCACATGAGAAAAATTGTGTGTGTGTGTGTGTGTGTGTGTTTGAGAAAAATGTGTGTGTGTGCATGAGAAATAGTGAGTGTGTGCATGAGTGTCTGTCAGAGAATATGTGAGAGAGAGAGAGAGAGAGAGAGACAGTGCATGTGTATGTGTGTGTGTGAGAGAGAGTGAGTGTGTGTTTGTGTGTAATAGAGTTTGTGCTTTGTGTATGTGCATTTAAGATAGAGTGTGCGTGAGAAAGTGTGCATGTGAGTGTTTGTGTGAGAGAAAGAATATGTGTGCGTGTGTCAGAGACAGTGAGAGAGACGAGTCTGTGACTGTGCATGTTTGTGAGACAGGGATGAGAGACATAGAGAAGTCTGTGTGTGTGTGTGTGTGTGTGTGTGTGAGAAAGGGGAGAGGAGTCAGTTTGACAGACAGGATTCTGTATCTGTGTGTATGTGTGTGAGAGAGAGGAGTCTTTGTGTATGTGTGTGTGTGTGTCAGAGACAGTGAGAGAGATGAGTCTGTGACTGTGTGTATGTTTGCGTGAGAGCGGAGTCTTTGGGTATGAGAGATAGAGAAGTGTATGTGTGTGTGTGTGTGTGAGAGAGAGAGAAAGAGAGAGAGAGAATGTGTGTGTCAGAAAGAGAGAGGGGGGAGAGAAGTCTGTTTGAGAGAGAGGATTCTGTGTCTGTGTGTATGTATGTGACAGAGAGAGGAGTCTTTGTGTGTGTGTGTGTCAGAGAAAGAGAGAGAGAGAGGAACAGTGAGAGAGAGAAGTGTCTGTGTGTACATGAGAGAGGAGTCTGTGTGTGTATGTGTGAGAGACAGTGAGCAAGAGGAGTCTGTGTGTGTATGTGAGAGAGTAGAATCTATGTGTGTGAGACAGAGATGTCTCTGTGTGTGTGAAAGAGCATGGGCATGCACGTATGTGTGTGTGTGCGTGTAGGCCTGAGAGAGAGACTGTGTGTACACATGTGAAAGAGTGTGGGCGTATGCATGTGAGGGGCAGAGATATGGACAGAGAGATGAAAGGGATACAGATTAAAGAAAGCAGAGAGTGAGGGAGAGAGAGACAGACAGACAGAGACTGAAGAGGGGTAAAAAAAGAGAGAGAAGGAGGGAGAGTGGTGGAGTGACACGGAGAGGGAGAGAGAGACAGAGGGAAAGAGAAATTGAAAGGAGGGTAGAGAGGGGGAGAAGGGGGACAGAGGGAGAGCGAGGAGGAGGGAGAGTAGGTGAGAGAGAGATTGGATAGAGAGATGGGAGAACGAGACATAATGTTGAGACGGGTGGAGAGTCTTGAGAAGGAGAGACAGTGTGAGAAAAAGGGAGAAGGGGATGTTTGATAGAGAGAACTGGAGAGAAAAGGACAGAATGAGGGAGATGGAGTGAGAGGGAGGGGAAGCGAGAGAGAGCATGACAAAGAGTGACACTGTGAGGGAAAGAGAGGGAGAGAGAAAGAAAAAGATGGGAGAAACAGAGACAGCAATAGGACGTTTAGAGACAGAAAGAGAGACACAGTGAGAAAAAGTGTGAGGCATAGGGAGAGACAGACGGAAGAAAGAAAGATAAAGAGAGAGAGTGCGTGGGAGCAAGAAAGAGAGAGGGAGAGAGAGTTGGGAGACGGAGAGAAAATGGGAGGGAAGACAGAGATAGGGAGATGGAGAAGGGAGATGGGTCAGAGAGAGAGAAAGAGAGAGCGAGGAACACAGGCAGATTCAGAGAGAGACAGGGAGAGAGTTTTTTCTAGGGAGATGGATTTAATTCCTGTCATAGGCAGACAATAAATGTTGAATTCTATAAAAATCTGGAATAAAAAGTGAAGGCAATTAATGCTGAGCCCAACCGGTGATGCCCACATCCTGTGAATGAATTTAAAAAACAAAAATGACACAATGAGTACTAATGAGATTGAGTTCAAAACATCCATTTGGCCCCTCAAGCCTGCTACATCATTCAATAGAATCATTCCCCTCTTTGTCTTCCTTCCAAATCGAGATAATTATCTCTCTCCTCGGATCCATTTATGACCTATGTTCCATATCCTTCTGTGGCATAGAATTTCATAGGCTCACTCACCCTGGAGATGGAAGATATTTCTCCTCATTTCAGTCCTACCCCGTCTCTTGTAGACATTCTTAACGAGGGGGAAACATGCTCTCGACATCTAGTATGAACAGAATTTTCAATCTGATCCCCTCTTCTCCTTCTAAACTCTCGCAAATGTAAATCCCAGTCGAACCAATGTCTCTTTATTGGACAGTCCTGCCATCCCTGGCACCAGCTGAGTGAACCTCTGCTTCATTCCCTCTCTGGAAAGGATAACCTTTCTGAGGTAGGGAGAACAAAACTGCACATAATACTCCAGGTGTTGTCTCAGGGAGACCCTGTATATCTGCAGCAAGACATCCCTACTTCCAAACTTCAATCCTCTTGCAATGAACGCCTATGTCCCATTTGCCTTCTTAATTACTGGCCGCACCTGAATGTCTACTTTTATTGACACTTGGATCCCTTTGTATATCCATACTTCCCAATATATCACCATTTCAATCATGTTCGCTTTCTGTTTCTCCACACCTGAGGTGTATAACTTCACATTTAGCCATGTTGTACTACATCTGCCGTGTGTTTGCCCCACTCAATGTGTCTAACTCACCTCCTTTGTGCCCTCCCCACAATCCTGCCCAGTTATGTGTCATGACCAAACTTGGAACCATTGAATTTGGCTCCCTCATCCAGGTCATTAATATACATTGAGAGTGGTTGGAGCTCAAGTGTTGATCCCTGCCGTGTTCCACTCGTCACTATTTGCCTCTCAGACAAAGAGCCATTTATTCCTGAGATAGCAGGAACTGCAGATGCTGGAGAATCTCAGATAACAAGGTGCAGAGCTGGATGAACACAGCAGGCCAAGCAGCATCAGAGGAGCAGGAAGGCTGACGTTTTGGGCCTAGACCCTTCTTCAGAAATGGGGGAGGGGAAGGGGGTTCTGAAATAAATAGGGAGAGAGGGGGAGGCGGATAGAAGATGGATAGAGGAGAAGATAGGTGGAGAGGAGACAGACAGGTCAAAGAGGCAGGGATGGAGCCAGTAGAGGTTAGTGTAGGTGGTGGGGTAGGGAGGGGATAGGTCAGTCCAGGGAGGACGGACAGGTCAAGTGGGCGGGATGAGGTTAGTAGGTAGGAGATGGGGTGGAGCTTGAGGTGGGAAGAAGGGATAGGTTGGAGGAAGGACAGGTTAGGGAGGCGGGGACGAGCTGGGCTGGTTTTGGGATGCGGTAGAGGGAGGGGAGATTTTGAGGCTTGTGAAGTCCACATTGATACCATTGGGCTGCAGGGTTCCCAAGCAGAATATGAGTTGCTGTTCCTGTAACCTTCGGGTAGCATCGTTGTGGCATTGCAGGAGGTTCATTGTGGCCTCCTCTACATCGGGGAAACCAAGCGGAGGCTTGGGGACCGCTTTGCAGAACACCTACACTCCGTTCACACTAAACAACTGCACCTCCCAATCGCAAACCATTTCAACTCCCCCTCCCATTCCTCAGACGACATGTCCATTCTGGGCCTCCTGCAGTGCCACAACGATGTTACCCGAAGGTTGCAGGAACAGCAACTCATATTCCGCTTGGGAACCCTGCAGCCCAATGTTATCAATGTGGACTTCACAAGCTTCAAAATCTCCCCTCCCGCTACCACATCCCAAAACCAGCCCAGCTCGTCCCCGCCTCCTTAACCTTTCCTTCCTCCCACCTATCCCCACCTCCCACCTCAAGCCCCACCCTCATCCCGCCACCTTGACCTGTCCGTCCTCCCTGGACTGACCTATCCCCTCCCTAACTCCCCACCTACACTCAGCTTTACTGGCTCCATCCCCGCCTCTTTGACCTGTCTGTCTTCTCTCCATCTGTCTTCTCCTCTATCCATCTTCTATCCGCCTCCCACTCTCTCCCTATTTATTTCAGAACCCACTTCCCGTCCCCCATTTCTGAAGAAGGGTCTAGGCCCGAAACGTCAGCCTTCCTGCTCCTCTGATGCTGCTTGGCCTGCCATTTATTCCCACTCTGTTTCCTGTCTGTCAACTAATTCTCAGCCCACATCAATATACTACCCTCATTCCCTTGTGCTTTCACTTTGCACAAGAACCTTCTATCAAAAGTCTTCTGAAAAACTGAAAATACTACACGTACTGGTTCTTGCTTATCTATCCTTTGACACTCAGAAAATGCCAGTTGATTTATTTAGGATCATTTGCCTTTCATAAGTCCTGATGTGGAGGTGCCAGTGTTGGACTGGGATGGAAAAGGTCAGAAATCACACGACACCAACTTATAGTCCAACAGGTTTATTTGAAAACACAAGCTTTTGGAGTCTCACTTCTTCTTCAGGTGTTAGTGAGAGGGGTGGTATCAGATACAGAATTTATAAGTAAAAGATCAAAGGGTCACACTACTGATGAGGATGTATTAAACAAACCTAAGATGCTGTTAAATCTTTAATCAGTTAGAAGGTTTTAATTGTTTAATATGTATATGTCAATCCCCAAATTTCTTTCAAGTCAACTGCCCTGAGAGAATTAAAGGCTTTATCAATGGAAAGAAGAGGTCAGACAATGTATGTTAGGTGTGAGGTCTTGTTTAAAATTCATTTCCTTTTCAGAAACACATCAGATTCAAGTGACTGAACGTAACATAGTGACTGGTCCCTGTGAGATTCCCCAGCATCTCTTTCTCCCTTTCATCCTCACTGGCCGCAAATCCCGAGTGCATGGCGTGGGCTGGAAAGCCTGGAGTGGGACTCTGTCAGCGGTATGCTGTCGCAGCGCAGAAGGAAAAGTTGGAACCTCTTTAAGTTATCTTTATTTTATTCTGTGAATGGCGCTTATGTATGAGCGACAGCACACACTTTTCACTGCATTTTATATTGAATGCATGCAACAATAAAGAATATTCAATTTTCAAAGGATATTTAATGTTCATTGTCTCCAAGAGGTCAGAATTGTTTGGAATCAATGAGAAAGCTGGCAAAGAAAAGCAAAGGGTCTTTCCACAGGCATCATTCTCTCTCACATTCTCTCTCTTTAGCACACTCTCTCTTTCACACACACATTCTCTCATAGTCTCTCTGTCGCACTCTTTCACACGTGTGCATTTCTGAAGACGGTGCTGATGCTGCTTGGCCTGCTGTGTTCATACAGCTCTACACCTTGTTATCTCTGTGCATGAAAGAGAGTGTGTGCATGAGAAAAAGTGTGTGAGAGATTGTGAGAGTGATTGCGAGAGAGAGACTTTATGAGACAGAGTGAGAGAGACTGTGAGAAAAAGTGTGCATACAAGAGAGAATATGAGAATAAGAGAGTACATGAAGGAGAGAGAGTGTGCATTTGTTAGACAATGTGGGAAATGCCAGCACACATATGGAATGCTGTGTGTCCACAGTCTGGATGGGAGTGTATCTGTTCACATTCTGGTTGTGCACTGAGCTGAGGGCAGGAGCCGAGTGATGGATTTATCCCTTGCGGCCACTCGGAAATGGTGATAAAAGCTGGAGGTATGTACCGAGCAGCAGGAGAGTGGTGAGGATCTCCATCGCTGTGCCCTGTCTGTTTGGGGCGTGTATTCAGTCAGAGACTTAGTCTGCTGTTTCCTGCTTCTCTGATCCTGCTGGTGGCAGGGGAGCACAGCCAGAGAGTCTGAGAGAGATCAAGGTCGGACACAGATGTCAGTCACCAGTACATTTCTCCCCCCACCCCCATTGACCCCCACCCCACCCCACCCCACCATTCCCCTTCCTGATTAAAAATCTCACCCCACAATACACTCAATGACCCAGCCCTCTGCGGTAAAAGAATTCCATAGATCGATTCCCTCCAGAGCGAAGAAATTCCTCTTCATCTCCATCTTCAATGGGCGACCTCTCTTATTCTGAGATGGTGCGTCGCTAGTCCCAGAGAAGGGGAAACAACCTCTCTCCTCATCTCCCCTGTAAAATAACTCTAATAACCTGCAATAAGAATGCATTCTTCTAAACTCCAACGAGGACAGACCTGACCTAATCAACGTCTCCCTCATCAGACAGTCCCCATCCCCGGGATCAGCTGAGTGAATCCTCTCTGGACCTGCCTGCCAAAGCAACGACGACAGCTCAAAACTTTCTAAACTTCCTCAAACTGAGTCCCTCTGAATCCAATCCATACATTGCCCCTCTCTTTCTCTCCCCGTCCCTCTGTACAAATTCTCTCTCTCTTATCTGAAACCACAGAAAGGGATGCCTGCGAGTCAGGAGTGAGACAGTACTGTGGCTTTAAAAGCCTTGTGTTCCCTGCTGTTTTTCTTGCAGGGAGGTGTTGCCAATTTAGTACCAAAATGTTTCATTCAGACAGGTGATTATTAAACAGGTAATTGAGTTATCCCTGAGTGTTTTGTTTAAACATGAGACAAAAGAGTCATGAGTGTGCAGGATCATGTTCACACAGACCCAGGAAGGTTTTTAAAAACCAAAAGAAGGAAAGTTTTTAGTTTTGCTTTTGGTTAGTTGAAGATTTCTGTTGGCTGGCTGCTGAGGTAAAAGCTTGAATTCACTGCTGTTCGAGTGAAGTGTTATACAGCGAGGCTCACTCTTAAAAATCAAAACAGGAAGATTGTTTCTTTCTTCTCGACGAGAGAGAACCAACACATGAGAAAATCATAACTGTGTTACTGCAGTGCATTTTAGCCAAAGCATGTGTGTATGGGATGCTGCCGATATCAGAACAGTTGCTGATTACTCAATTGAAATATTAACCACTAAAGTTATGCTAATTCTTCTTTTTGTTGTATTTTAATAGTGCTGTCAGAAAAGTGAGTTTTGATTCAAGCTTACCGGTGCACCAATCAATTACGGAGTCATAATGCACAGAAACAGATTCTTTGGCCCAACTTGTCCATGACCAGGTTTTCCAAACCAAGCTAATCTCATTTGCCTGTGTTTGGCCCATATCCTTATAAACCTTTCCGATCCACATACTTGTCTGAATGTCTTTTAAATGTTGTAACTGTACCCACCTCTATCACTTCCTCTGGCAGCTTGTTTCATATACACACCGCTCTCTATGTGAAAAAGTTGCCAGTTAGGTCCCTTTTAAATCTTTACCCACTCACCTTAAACCTATTCCCTCCAGTTTTGAACTCCCCACCCTGGGGAAAAAGACTTTAACTATTCACTTTATCTGTGCCCCTCATGATTTTATAAACCTCTAACATCACTCCTCAGCCTCCAAAACTTCAGGGAAAGTATCCCCAGCCTATCCAGCCTCTCCATATAACTGAGATCCCCCAGTCCAGGTAACAGCCTTGTAAATCTTTTCTGCACCTGTTCCAGTTTCATAACATCCTTCCTATAGCAGGGCAACTAGGACTATATGCAGTGCTCCAAATGTGGCCTCACCAATGTCCTGTACAACTGTAATACGATGTCCCAACTCCTGTACTCAATGCTCAGACTGATGAGGCAGGCGTATCTGGAACACAGCGCCTTACACTTGCCTTTTAAAAATATTTTTAAAAATTAGAATCTGGCTATCTCTGTAATACAATTTGGGGGATGTGGTCTGGTCTATAACAGAAGATAGCTTATAGCTCTGTGAATCATTGAGTAGAATGGGGAAGTGGACTTTCCTCAGGAAGTAACGATGGTTGGGGTTGGGGGTGGCAGGGGGAGGGGAACGATTCTGGTTGGCAAGCAAGTTTTAACAGAAGTTTTGGAAGGTAGGAACAATAGTTTCGCTCCCCTAATCAGCACGTTCATTTTCATTCAAACAGCAGTGAAGGTGGACATGGAGAGATTGGAGAATGGGTTCTGTCGGGGGTCCATATTCCCCCCACCTCTCTCTTTCTCCGCTGTCAAGATGGGAGGAAACCAATATCAAACTCTCCCACAAGTCAATAGGAGGTTAAAAAGAGCTTTGATTCCTTACCCCTCTAGGAGAGGTTTGTCAACTCTCTGAACCAGCCCAGGAGGCCGAATTATGGAGGCCCAGATGTGTCATGGGGATAGGAGAAGATCATTCAGTTCATTGCAGCCACTGTAACCCCCGGGGCTCAATTATCTTACGCCCAACCATCAGATCCCCGCATGGCCCACTCCTGTCCAATTCCCAGTCCAACACCCTTTCTCAAATTGAAACAGCCTTCGCCTCACATTTCCAGGCAGTGCACTCCAGACCCCAACTCATTTCTCGATGGAAACATTTCTTCCTCACTTCACCCCAACTTTCTCCATTTGTAGCTCACGTTAAACTTAGACCCTCCCTCCCACCACATTCTTGTTTGTTTTACGAGCAGGCTCAGCTACGCAACCCGCTGCCCCCGGCCCCCACCACGACCACCACCACCACCACCACCAAACATCACAAACCAGTCTGTCCAGCTTCAGTTCTTAGGGCAAATGGGATCGAAGCCACTCCTCCTCATCTCGATTTTCAATCTGCCCAACGTTTTCTCCTAAAACAATGACCTCTCATTCTAGGTTGTCCCACACGAGGAAACATCCTCTCTCTGTCTCCTTTGGTGATTTTTCTCTTCAGCGTTTTATATCCATCAGTTAGATTTCCTCTCATTCTTCTAAACTCCAGAGAGTATAGGCCTAAACTCTCTTCATAAGACAAACCCCTCATGTCTGTAAACAATCAAGCAAGTCTCCTCTGAACTGCCTCCAACTACATCCATTCCTCAAATAAGGAGATTGAAACTTTCTAATCCATTCATTCATATTAGAAAGGTCTAACTATGTATAGGCAAAATGCTGTTTTACAAACTTGGCAATCCCACATTGAATGATCAATGATTTAGTAGCAGGAAACTAGGAAGTTCAGAAGAACACAGAGATCTTGGGGAACTTGTCCATATATCCCTCAAGTTGAAAGGACAGGTTAATAGGGTGGTTAAGGAGGCATATGGGACACTCGCCTTTATAGCCAAGATATAGATTATAAGAACGGGGAGGTGATATTGGAGCTGGACAGGGCTTTGGTGAAGCCACAGCTGGAGCTCTGTGCAGTCTCCACACTATAGGAAGGATGTGACCGCACTGGAGAGAATGCAGAGGAGATTCCGCAGGATGTTGCCTGTGATGGAGCATTTCAGCGATGAAGAGAAGCTGGATAAGCTCGATTTGCTTTCTTGGAGCAGACAAGGCTGAGGCGAGACCTGATAGAGGTGAGCAATGTTATGAGGGGCATGGACAGTGCGGATAGGAAGCATCTGTTCCTTCTTGAAGAGTTAATAGCAAGGGTAAAATACCCAACAGAGGCCGGTATCCCATCACCAAGTCACCCTTTATTCACGCATGGAAAGCCCTGGACGCTGATCCAGCTCATTCAGCGCCAGATCTTAGATTGAAGATGTCTGATACTCCTGTTTATATCTGTCAGCCAGGATTCCCTGATTGGACCAGAATAACAGCCCCAATCAGGGAACTCATTCTCTGAGGTCCACCTGCCTGACATCATTACAATCACTGCATCCCTCCTCATTGTGTCCAAGGATATAGGCCAGTTCTTTTTATTGTAGCTCCTCTTGGGGCGTTTTAGCACCGGGTCAGGATCCTCCAACTCTGCCTCTGATACAGGCGGTGTGTAATACACAGCAGCTCACCTCTTGAACCCAGAGCATGTCAGAAAAAAATCATTCTCCTCTTCAGGCAACAAAGACATTGAGGCAGTGACATCTGTTGTATCCATCTCGGATTCTGAGGTGTCTTTAACCTCTGACAGAGAGGTTCTGGAACAGTTGGAAAAGCAATTGAGGAGGCAGGCACATTTTGCTCCTGCACCGTTTGCAAGTTTGCAGCTTTCATGAGGTCTATGTGCTTGTTCAGGAACGTCACACCTACCTGAACTTAATACATCACAGGACCTGATATCACATTAACCATGCGTCTTACCATGCAGGGCAATTCCTGTGGTTCCTACACCAAACTTCATCACCTGAAGTAAACTGTCTCTCTTTCTTAGAGGGGTCTTGTGTCTAGCATTGGCTTTCCTGATGCCATTTCACCCTCTCCACCAGGTCCGGGAAGATCAGGTTGAATCTGGTGTGGAGTGTTCTCCCAATTGGCAACTCTACTGGAGCTATCCCTGTAGTTGCATGAGGTGTGGCCCTATAATCAAATAGGAACCCGGACTGTTTGGTATCTAGTGAAGCTGTAAGTCTGTTTCTTTAAACCTGCCTTCAAAGTTGAGACTGTTCTTTCTGCTGGATCATTGGATAATGAATGGTATAGGGCTGTCATTGATGAATACCATACAATTTTAGGAAATACTCAATTTCCCTGCTGGTAAGCGATGGCCCATTATCAGTGATCAACACTTCTGGGAGTCTGTGCATTGCAAAAGATGCACAGTTTTTCTATCATTACCTCATGTTTGCCCAATGAACTCTATGCATGTCCAACCACTTTGCATGGGCATGTACAATGACTAAAAACATTGAGCCCATGAAAGGACCTATATTGTCAATGTGTAACTAAGTCCAGGGTTTACCTGACCATTCTCACGAATGTGAGGGAGCTACTCCAGTACGCTTTGTCCTTGTTGGCCCTCTGGGCACCCA